AGGGACCAACATGCCAAGGTATTATTTCAACATCTCACAACATATGTGCTCCAAGACTGTAAAGGATACTGCATTCACTTGCTTGCAAAGCAAGGAACCCAACTGGTGCTTGCACCCCCAGCTCATTCTCGAAAGCGCTCAGGGCCACCAATTGAGGCTTGATGTTGAGTGCCTTGCGACCACTGGCCGTCAAGGCAGCCACTGCGACACCAGCCACTGCAAGGGAGGCCGTTTGGCTTGGGGCCTCTCGAGATCGAAGGATTTCAGTTTGGGAGGCAAAGGTTCTGAGGTGAACATTCCTGTTTGATCCGAGGTGAACGTCTGTCGTTCGTAGTGCAAAACAATCCAAACAGTGGCACAAACAGTGGCACTGGCACTGCTCAAGAAACATGACACAATATGAATATGACACATGACATGAAGGAAAAAAAAAGTGACATGAAGCTCTAAAGAAAGGAACTGTTACCAGGAGTGGGTGCTATCGTGACTGTGACACTGTGGAGAAATGGACCGCGAACAAAACCCTTTGCGAAGAAGGCGTGTTCACTTCCATCATGTATCTTGTTTTGAAGTGCGCTGTGCCCAGTCTGTCGTGTTGACGCACGTTTGCCGTGTCCACCCCCCTGGTTCTTGTTTTTGTTGGGCGCCTGAGTGCCATGAGGTCTGGTGACTTGGGACTCTACATGATGACAAATTGCGGACTGCACATTTGCACACAGTACAAAAGACTTTCTAAATGGAACCACCGTCAATGAACAAAATAAACCCATAGGCCTGCACGCTTGGTGTAGCTGCAGCAGACGAGGCAGTGGCTCGAAGGTGGCTAGTGCTGGTGCTGGGTGCTGACACGAAGCTTGCTCCGCTCAAGAGTGCGGCTGCACCTGTGGCGGCAGCAATGGTAGTCTTGGAGGTAGATGCCATGATGTTGAACGTATTGGCCAAAAATGAGAGCTTTGCTCGCACAGCCGGGTTCGATTAAAGAATTAAAAGGGCTTGAGCCTGGAAGAATCATCGGCGGGGTTCAGTTGGACAGCATGACGGGTTCATCAAAGCAGCTGCAGGACCGGAGCGCATCGGAGAAAGCCCATGTACTGCTGTTTTGAGGGTATCAATTGAGTGAATCAGACTCAGAGAGTCCCTCAACTCCCACATCGTGTTGTTCGACATCTCGATCGTTTGGCCCCCGGGCAGGATTTTCTTCGTCGGCAGCTGATCCCAGCGGGGTCCAGTTCCTGCGGATCCAGTGCCGTGAATTTCGACAGAAAAACACATCATCGGCCGGTGATCTACCTGAAGTTTTACAAATGTATAGATATATACATCATGATGTATATATATATATGCAACTATCATGCATATAAGGTTCAAGACTTTAAGATGCTTCAAGTACCTCTCCTGCTCAAGGACCCTGTGTTCTCCTCTATACTGTCTATATCTGTCGTCTACGCCAAAACACTCAACGGCTTGGAGCGTCGCTCTGGATGTCGCTCTGTTCGTCCCCTCGACTGAACCACCCGGCTCTGCACGACCGAACGACCATCTACGACCTCCGCTGCCCAAGCTCAATTAATCGATAGTGAAACACCGCCTGTTTGTAGAGGAAGATGGTCTTCCAAAATTCCAAGGGGTCATGCTATCCACTTCCTTGATTCTATTTTGGGACCTATTGGGACTGGTCATGACCAGGGTTGCTCAGTGCTCCAACGGAGGACCGAAAGAACGGCGCCTTGTGGGGTCGGGTTGTTCGTGTTGTGAAGATCTCGCCCTCATTCGTGTCTCGTGGTGTGTTTCTTTTTTCAGGTATACCAGGCTTGAGGGAGGACCCTTACGTGGAAAACACCATGCGGTTTTCAGGCGGCACTTTCTTCAAGAACAGCATCCCATACAGCCACTCCAGAACGGCCCATAGAAGAGTGTCAAACGTGCCAAGGCACAAAGACCTCGGAGATCTTCAAAGCACTTCGAATGGCATCCACCGCCGCCTGCGGCTGGGCCCCTCCCAAGTCTGGAAATGGTGTGGTCTCCAACATAGACTCCGAGATGGTGTGGTGTAAAAATCTGCGACTTCGTTTGGGGATACTAAGCCGCGGCTAGGACTCCCGATGGTGTGTTCCAACCGAAGATCGGCACGACTCGTGGACTCGGAACCGGCGGACGAACAACGAGGACCGGCACGTCTGTGTTGAGGGACCGAGTCGGCGAATCGGATCCAGGAATTCCCCCCTCACTGGCACCTGGAATTGTGGAATGACATATCATATCGAAGGGAACCGATATGAAAGGATCCAGCATCTAGAGGTGACCATCTTCTGACAGTATGTGTGGGTGCGAAACAAACTCTAATCTAGTTGCCTGTTGGTGCTTCGTGACTCTGCTTGACCCCTCTGACTGGATTGGGATCCGGGTCATGGCCTACCAACAGTGAGACGTTTCGTTTAGACTGAAGCGACTGGACGGAAACGTAGAACGATTAGCACCATCGCGAACCTCAGAACCCGACTTTCAGAAAGGAACATCTATAGGGAACGATACACCCAGGAAGAGACCCACATGAAACCTGGAAACCAACCTTTGGAATTCCATGTTAATCTTCCAGAGTGTAACAAGTTAAATGAAGTTAACAACACTGATTGTTGAGCAGTCCAGGACAAAACCGCTGCACAACTTGTTAGTGCACCCCCCCCATCTGCCGCAATCCAGCATCTTCCGCTTGAACAACTGCCAACAGTGATGTTGTACGTATTGAAACGTCGGTGTTCGAGAGTGGGAAACAGGAAACGTCAAATGAGCCGCGATCAAACATACATTGTTTGCCAAATTTGTGTGTGTCACCTATTGCTTTCCTATCGGTTTGGATCAAAGCGAACAACATCCAACGAGGTCAACAAGGATCCCTGACAATCCATATGGAATATGGCCCACATTGGGGTGATTCTAAGATGCTTTAAGTGTCGATGTGGGCAAATATTCCAGTCCCATGGATTGTTGAGATTGTCAAGAAATTGAACATTCCACACCTCTGGTAATTCTGACTGTTCCTCACATTAGTCGCTGGAGCTTTGGACTAACGCTAAGGAATGCAAGATTCATGTTACGTGATGGAGCACGGTGTATGAGTACGTGAATGAGAGCAGTCTGACCTTTGGGAATCTGATTTCCTGAACTCAGTTGGTTATCTCCTTTGTCCTCAAGACCCCAAGTTGTGGCCACCCAAGTTCTGGCCTTAGTACCATAAATGGCAGCTCGCTCAAGCCTGAGCGCGCGAGGGTCACGGGACAAGAACGCAATTGATTGAACCAGCTCGTGGAGTACGCAGCGACTCCATTCGAACAGCATGAAACATGTACGGATCGGCCATCGGAATCGCAGGTCCAACGGCAAACGGTGTTGAAGAAGAGCGCATGGTTTTCTTATGTTAAAAACAAAAAAGCAAAGAATGCTCCCAACGTCTGGGAAAGAAACCAAAGCACATGCAGATGTCACACCCCGGTTCACGCGCGCAGCTCCGCTCCCATGGGTACCCGGCACTCGAGCGATGCTGGGCTCCTCCGCAAGCAAGGCCAAGGAGACCTCTGGCGGGGGAAAACGAAAGGCCATACGGGCACCCATCAGAAAATGGTCTTTTTGGCACCCATCAGCTGGATCGGCTGTGGTCGTGGATGAAGAAGTTCATCCCGCCCCAAAGCAAGAACCGATCCAAAGGATTCGTGAATCCCAGGCTGTGGAATAGAGTTTACCATGCAGTGCATATATCGCCACAAAGAGCGAAATCCTGGAAAGCTGGAAAAAACGATCCGAGTGCACTTTTTGGGGGAATGTCACAACACAAAATGCGCATTTCGTGTAGGGCTACCTATACAAATACGGGGGGGCCGAAAGGACGTGAAACCTTGTTTTTCCTGGTACGCGTATGTTTCCCAGACTCAATGAGACTGGCATATATCTACAGTGACCTCTGAAAACACCTCTAGGTAAATCATGGTAAATATCAATATCACATGTTCATCAAGCGTATGGGATGGAATCAGCGCCTGGAACCACACCAATGTGTAGGTACACATCACAGTCCCATGAAGTGTCTGGATTTTGGTGAGTGATTCATGTATGAGGACCTTGTTCCACTGTGGTAATTGTAACATTGAACCAAGCAGGGGCCATGTTCATTTAAGGGAAGGGCTTCTCTTCTGGCGGCAAACCCAAGGGGTTGATATACGCTGATTGAACCATGTCAAACTATTGAGCGCTGCTTTTTTTGTTGCGTCCTAAACAAATGATGGGCATTGATGTTCCAAACGAATACTTCCCTGACTGAGAAGTCTAAGAGAAGTCCGTGTACACACCGCCAACTCGCCGAGGCCCCAAAGGCCCACGGCCCACAGCATCCCACAGCCCATTTTTTGGGGCTCGGTACTCACTCGGAAAAAACAAAAACCGGCAACCCTTGTTTTAACCCATTAACAACACAACTGTAACCCTTGAGTCAACTGTTTGGTCACCGACAAGTTCCGCATGTCGTTATCTCGGGATATCTCGGGATGAGGTTCTGGGTGGATCCGAGACACGGTGTTTACGCCCCCCCGGCGACATCGATACGCCGCCTCTCCCTCCTTCTCCATATGTGTGGCTGCCTGGTCCGAAAGTAGAGTCTTCCTGGTTCGCTTCTCTTTTTACATCTTGATTGCCAAAAATCAGCTGTCAAATGAGTGCGTGTGTATAAAAATAGGGAGACCCCCCCAAAGACCCTCTGGAAGAAGGGAACTAGACCAGTCTACACATTGGTTGTATATCTCCCTATTAACATACACACCCAAATCAAGGTTCCAGACTTCACACGGGGTGCCAGGAATGTCTTCAGTCTTCAGTCATCTTCAGTCAGGAATCTGTCAGGAACGAGCCAACGAGACTTTCTCAGTCAGAAATTGGGCATCAACATGCATCAATAACCATTTCGGAACATTTCACCTTGGACCTTGGAACTTGGGCTGCTTTATGGTACGCCGATGAGTGAAGTCGGGCAACCTTTTATGTGCTTAAATGATGTTACAGTACCCACAATAAAGCGTGGAGCAGTCTCTCCAGATCCTACGTTTATTGTTTCTAATTGCAGTATTGAAATTGCGGACATGATTAACATGTGCTGTTTGCTGTTCTAAAATGCAAAAAACACCGGATTCTCTTTTGGTTAGTGTTGCTACTACCCTCTACACAAAGCATGGCGCATGGCAAATGTTGCGATGATCCTTGCTGCGACGCAATCCCCTTTGTGAACCCTAAGCAAAACCACTTGTGCTTGAGACCCCTAAACTTGTCACCGGCAACTGGTTTAGACACTCCCTAATATCGCTTTAAACACAATTGATCATGAAATGACCTACACTCCGGAAATCTCCTGAAAGCAATCATAAAAGTGGACTTCATGCCCTTCGGATGACCATCTTCCGGCTACACACCGGTGGCTTTCCACTGAAACTATCTGGTCACCGTTTGTCATGCTCCACCAAAGACTCCAAACCACCATGGAGCTCCGAGGTCTCGAGGTCTCGACCTCGGCTCCTCGGCTCCTCCGCTCCGGTCCACGGGACCCGCCTGACTCGCTCGTTCGCCGAGGACTCGCTCCACCGGCTTCAACCTGAAGCGCGTCGGTGACGCGCCACGGAGATAAAGGAAGGCGGGCGATCGAGAAGGAAGGCGTAGGGGTGATCCACGTCCATTCTCTCTTGAAGCACTGGTCCGCTTCTAGATTCTAGACTAAAGAATGCCATCATGATACTCCCCAAAGTAAGCCAGCTTTTTTCATGAACTCACGACTAATTAAACTTACTAAGCTGAGGCTAGCTCAGCTGACATCCACCAGCACCACCCGTCGATTCCTCCACATTCCCAACCCAACACCCGTTCCTGAATTCGCAACAAACTGGACCAAACTGGGGTAAGAACAAATGCGTGTTGGATCAGATTGCATTGCAATCATCCTGAACAGAATCAGCACTTCAACCGAATC